ATTCCAGCTATAGACACCCTACCGAAGACTTGTAGATGGACTTATACCTCAGAGGGGGCTGTTGGAGATATTCTGCTATAAAACATCATATAAATATATTTATCCTATAAAAGGCCATTGATAGTTTCCTTTCTATAGAACCTTTGCAGAAAAACTTATATCTGTAGCAGACCTGTTGAAGGGTTATGAAATGGTCAGGGCCTTCTGTAGATAATCTATCAAGGGACTGCTTGCTGGAAACCTTCTAGAGCTGCTGAAGAGGTTCTTCATATAGATCTTCTATCTATAGGTATGATGAATGTTTTTCCAATATATATTGAAAGGCTGTGTTGGTGGTATCCACTGTGTACCCGACTTGCTGAAAATTCTGCAAGACTCTTCTATAAAAGTCTTCCTGGAGGCTTTCTATTTCCAAAATTGTCTGTGTAGAAGGCCTGTGGGTTGATGGTATACCCTCTAGATTTGATATGTCGTAGAACTTCTATATCAAGGCGACCGGTTGGATGTATTCTGTATATAGAAGACACATGAATGTTTTTACCCCACAAAAGGTCATTTGGAGACTCGTCTCTATAGATCCATTGCTGAAAAATATCGATTTATAGCAGGCCTCTTGAAGGGTTATGAAATGTCCAGAGCTTGCTGTTGGATGTATTCTGTCTATAAGAGACCACAGGAATTTTTTGGGATTTTCAACTATAAAGGGGCTGTTGAAAGTCTTCCTTGTTTGAAGGGCCGATGAAGATCTGTAAAAGACTTCCAAGAGATATTCAATCTTCAAAGAGTCTGTAAAAGTCGTGTATCTACAGAAGGACTTTGGGAGATATTTTGGTCCCTTAACTATAAAAGATTTTCGGGGCAAGACATTTTTGGAAGTCTTTTAAAAGGTCCGATAATGGTCTTCTATTTACAGAAGGCACGTTGAGAGCCTTTCTCTATGAGGTTTTACTGCGGACAAGGCTTGCTGAATATACTCTACATATGCTATGTCCTACTGAGGCACTTCTGGGCTTAATTGTGAAAATTATACAATTTATATTTGGTCTGCTGGAGGTCTTCTCTCTGTGTACAAGGCCAGTTAGAGATTTTCACTATAAAATGATTGTTGGTAGTTTTCGATATTTGAGGGTATGGTGGAGGTCTATGGATGAGATATTTTATTTTTTTTTTGTCTGCTGAAAGTCCTCTTGCTACAGAAGGACTTAAGGAGAATTTTTGATCATCTATCTATAAAGGTTATTCTGGACCTCTTCTAGGATATTTTTTTATCTTTAGGATATTTTTTAGAAAGTGCGAATCCTCTTTCTTTGGAAACCCAATGAAGGTCTTAAAAATATCTGTTAGTGATATTCAATTGTTAAAAGATTCACATATATCTGCCTATGGACTTCTGGCGGTATTTTTGTCCCTTAACTATAACCGATCTTCTCTACCTCTACTATTCATATTAGAGCCTTTGGAAGTTCGTTAGAAAATAGTATAAATACCTTCTATTTACATAGAGCTCGATAAAGGTATTATTTTTATGGAAAGTCTACTGGAGGTCGTATATCTGTGGACATACTGGTGTTCTTATTCGAATTGGAGACCTGAAGGCATTTTTTTCAATAGAGTGTTTGATGCAGATATTTGGAGACCTCCAGTATACTAAAGGTCTGGATATGAAATGCCACTTGCTAATGGCATTTATATTGTGGAAGGCATGCTGAAGATCATTTCTCCAAAGAATCGTTTCGAAAAATTCTTATAAAAGGTCGACAAGAAGTCTGCATCTTTAAGAAAACCTGATGACAGTCATCTACCTATGAATGGTACGCTGAGGGTATTCCGTCTACAGTTCTTATTCATATGAAAGTCCTGATGGATTTTGTTTGAAAAGAGTGCTTGTTGAAGGTATAATTGCGGACCTCTGGTATAATGTCCAGTCATATAAGACCATTCTCCTAGTGGTCAGAATTTTTTTCAATAGAAAATTTATAGGGCGTCGTCCGGGGACATAGGAAGGAAGGTCATAATTTTACTGTGATTTTTTTTACATTAAAGATCCATATGTGGCCTTTCAGGTATTTGTTCTCCTTTGAAGATCCATGAGGTCTTCCACATATGTTGAGGACATAGGTTTTTTACCCATTGAATATCTATATGAAGTCTTCCATATCCATTGAAGAATCGTTGTAGAATTTAAAACTTCCTATAATAAGTAGATCTTCTATTAATTGAGGTTATTTTATTTGTGGAAATATACATTGAGATTATTGCCATCTATGTTGAAGTTTCTGTATAGGAGGAAGGCTTAAGATTTCTTGCTATAGAAGGACTTTTGGAAGTCCGTTGGAGGTCTATTAAAGCCCTGCAAATGACATCTTCTATATTTAAAAAGTCCCCACGAAGGTCTTTTATTTACCTACGGACTTTTGGAGAGGTCCCTAACTATAAAATATTTTCGGTATAAGTCCTAGAAAGTCCGATAAAGGCCTTCAATCTACTGGAGGTCTACAAAAAGATCTTCATTCAATAATCTCTTTCCAATTTCCTCTCTCTCTCCTCACGCATCTTTCTCCCTGCTTACCTAACCCAAAAACTCCCAACTAATTAGTTTAACATAAGCCACAACATCATCAAACAAAACAATAACGAAGAAGAAACGAAGCGATTTCAATGAAAGTTTAGATTTCCACCGCAGATTTTTCCGCTTTCATAAGAACAACAACAAAAGCTGCAACAACAACAATAGGACAACATTAAGAAAACGGGGTCAAAATGAAAACTGATAAAATCTTTGCTTGTCTTCTTCTACTTCACCAAAATGTCATATTTTGTTTTGACATGTGAGTGAGTGTGTGTGTCTAACTAGAGTGTGGGTCACATTACATGGGAGTCTCTCCATATGTGTGAGTACGTGTGTGTGTGTGTTGGTTTTAAGCTTGACTTAACTAGAGATGAAAAAAATGGAGATGGCACAATAAAAGTCAATTTAGGATAGAGTTGTAAAGAAGAGGGGGCTGGGGAGGGGAAAGTGGGGTATTTTAGCGGTTACAGGTTAGGGGGTTCCATTTTCAGTTTCTCTGGCATTTCCATCACCTAGCTACCTTTTCACCCCTTTTGAAACTACGAAGGTGCCTTGACATTTCAAAAATCTTTACTTTTTTGCCTAGCCATGGCGACGAGGATGATGATGAAGATGAGAGACATGGGTGAAAGATGATGATGATTATTATTGCAAAGCGTAAATGTTAACGATAAAATCCAAAGGGAATTAACTAACATTTGCGGTGCTTTTATGGGTATTATCAAAGATTTAATTATGAGCGGAAACGGATTTCAAAATCGTGTAACGATTTGCCGAGGTTTCGGATCTGACTTCCCCTCTTTTTTGTTACTTATTTCCTTTGGCATTTCATGTGGCCCAACTTTAAAATGCAATTTTTCCAGCAGCTCTGAATGAAAAGCCAACTTTACATTTGAATGCACTGTAACTTAAGTACCACCATCACCGACTGGCTGACTGACTGACCCACATTCTGAACTCATTTGTAGCCAAATACTTCTTCTTCTTTTTTCCTCTATTACATTAACGTAATATTACAATGGAAAGGGAAACAGCAACAACAACAACAGACACAAAAAGGTAAGAGGAAGAGAAACCCAAACACACACATACTTCGGCACACATTTGGAAAAGTGGAGACTGGGTTTTGCTGATCTCCATCCTCAAGATGTGATGTCTCTGCCTGACTGACTGTCTGTCTGCGTCTTTAAGTGGTCAGACGAATAGAGACAGCTGAACACAAAAAATGAAGTGATTGTTAGATGTGATATATATGTGTTAGTTAGTGTATGCGTGTGTGTGTTTGTTAGTAATTGTGATTATTTCCTAATGACATTCACATTTAAGAAAATTCATAGAAAATTTTGACTAAATGATTTAAATACGGCGAGGGAAAGGGAAGCAATGGAAAGAAAAAATATTTTCAAGCGAAGATTTATATACATATTTTCTCAGTAGAAGGCTATGTAGAGTTCTACTTTATATAGAGACCAGCTTGAGGCATTTTTCCCATATAAAGGACACTACTATTCAAGAAAATCTGCCAAAGGAGAGGCTTCTATTTCAAATAGATCTACTGTAGACCTTCTGTCTCTAGAAGCCCAGCAGGGTGTCTTCTCTCTTGATGGATGTATGGAGGTCAAAATACGCCAGAGAACTTGTATATGTAGCAAACCTGAAGTGGCTTCATTGAGTACAAAGCATCCTAAAGACACTTATGGAAACCCGAGGTCTTTTGGGCCTCTTTGTTTCAGGAGATTTGTCAATGGACTTTTATTTCAAGAAGACCTGCTGGAGGTCTACTCTTCATATAAGACCATTAAAGATTTATGAATTTTCCCCAATAAAGGAACCTTTTTCCAAAAACATCTGCTAAAAGAACGGCTTCTATTTCAAATAAAACTGCTGTAGGTCTTATGTTTCCAGAAGCCCAGCCTTTTTTGTAGAAGGCCTACAAAAACAATTCCCTTAATGAAGGTATTTTTTGGATATTTGTCAACGGACTTTTATTTCAAGAAGACCTGCTGGAGGTATCCTGTATTTAGAAGACCATATGAGGGTTTCTGTTTCTGTGTACAAGACCTGCTGGAGATCTCCAATAAAAGGCTTGCTGGGATACGAGACCATTGATACGAGATCCATTCCCTTAGTACAAGACTTCAGCACGTATTTTCCAACAGACTTCGACAGACTTATATTCAAGAAGACCTGCAGGTGACCTACTATCTATAGAATCCCCAGTGGATGTTTTGTCTATGCATGGTCTGTTTAATCTCTGCTCGTCAGGAAAATATCGATCCGCAGATGACTTACAAAAGGACTTTTATCAATTGAAGTCTTCTATACAATTTGAGGCGAACGTCTACATTAAAAACCCGTCAAGGTAATCTTATTTCCATATAATCCGTGTTCCTGAATAAAAAAAATACTTTAGAGACCCTTTAAAATGATTTCACAATTTATTTTTCTCCATAAACTCCTTAGCCCTCTCAATATTTTCCCGAATATCATCTTTCGCTTGATTATAAAGTTCTATTTCAAATGGCAACATTGGTGGCAGCCTCTGATGACCTCCAACCCCCTCCTTGTTCAATTGGAATTGACAAGCAAAATATGGCAATTCATTTATTTCCGATGGTATAAAACCAACTTCTTCGATATTTCTGACACCCTGCAGCGCCGAAACCACAGAATCACAAAATTGTGCCACACAATAGCCCATAGAAAGTTGGGCAGCTCCCTGGTGATTTTTGGCCAAAACCACTTCCTGGCCACCATGAATAATCCGCTTAGCCAATTTTATTTGGGTATCCAAGTCCAATGAAAATTTCGGCTGAGATTGTGAAAGCAGAGGAACAATACTCTTTTCCGAATGACCACCTATGACGGGAACATGCACATATCTTGGATCTACGCCCATGAGTTCTGCGAGGAAGGTAGCAGCTCTCATGGAATCTACCTTTGTGCAACCACTTAGCCGACGGGGATTATAGATGCCATGCTTCTTCAGCAATTCAGCGGCCAGTGGGACCAACGAATTTACGGGATTTGTAACAATGTGGAGATGTGGTGGACCTCGCTCCTTTCCACTAACCTTTGCTAAGGTCTCAATCAGCTGCACCATTAATTTGGCATTGCCATCAAACATTTGTTCACGACTTGTTATGCTGGGCGTATGGGACTGTCCCCCTGTCAAGACCAGAATATCACAACATCTCAGGGCCTCGTGTAAATTTTCGGCTCCGCTATAACCTGTAACTTTAGGTTTTGTGTTGATATGCGACAGATCTGTAACCAGGCCTTTCGTACAGCTGATATCGTATAGGCAAATTTCACTGAAACGATTATTCTGCTTTAGCTGTTGGGCCAGGCTGCGGCCCACGCCACCATTTGCTCCGATTATTGAAATTTTACAAAATTCAAAGACTTCTTGACTAAAGAAGCGGTGAATGTTTTTTAGCATAGCTCAGAGGAGAGAATGGAATTTTTTATTTATTTTTTTTGTTGAAAAATAAGAAGAAAAATGTAAAGAAAAAAAATAAACACAGTGGAAGAAAATGTAAGTTGAAAAAATTTAGGGTCAAATCGAGAAGTTCGGATCAGCTATTCCGTGATTTTCCCCATAATGAAACAAGGTCTTAGATGCATTTTCCAACCAATGTGGACTCCAATTAAATTTAAGAACTCCAGTAGGCACTCTACAGGGGGTATACCTCTAGTGCAGGGTCTTCGATATAAAGAAAATGGAGAGGGTGGTAGGCTTAATAGGAAGTACGTAGGTCCACAACAAGATATCAGTTGATCCTCGTTTCACAGAACTCATTGAGGGTCTTCTGTGTATAGAAGACCTATAGATGGTATTCAGTGCATAGAGAACCATAGGGGAATTTTCTGTGTATAGACGACCCACAGAGAATTGTATTTCTGTGTGTAGAAGACCCACAGAGAGTCTTCTGTGCATGAAAGAACCATAGAGTGGTCTTCTGTCTATAGAACACCCATCTTCTGCGTATAGAAGGCCCATAGAGGGTCTTATGCATATAGAAACTCCAAAAGGGTCTTCTGCGTATAGTAGACCCATATAGGGTCTTCTGTGTATAGACGACCCATAGAGGATCTTCTATTTTTAGAATACCCATAGAGAGAAGACCCATATGAAAGATCCACAGATGTTTGTTTTTGTAGTGGAAAAGAGATGGAAAAGCTTCCGCTAGTGTTCGCCTATCGATAAAATCTCTTCTATAGATTTTCTACAAAAATAAATATTCTAGGTGTCTCCTATATATATGAGAGCTTCTATAGATAAATCTCCTTCTATGGGCCTTCACTTCACAAAGCAACCTTTTCGTAGTGTTCAATTTCATATGTATATGTCAGCGGGCCAAATAGAACTTCCTTTCACTAATAAAAAACCTCTGAAGTGATTTTTCACTAAAAATTCTTAAGGGCCCCATACACTATAAATCATGCCGTCATGCCGATGAACCCCTTTTTGTATATGTGAGATTGACTAGTGTATGGCAAACTTTTCAATCACTATTCCAAAAAATCGATTTTTGTCCCAAAAATTGAATTTTGAGTCGTAAATACAGTTGTTTTTTTCTGACACAATTCCATTATTTTTGTACACAAAATTATTTACTGACAACTTTCAAAATGAATATTATTCACCAGATTGATAAGGTTTCATTTTTAAAATCAAAACTATTTTGATTTTCTTCATGCATTGTGTGTGTCACACATACATAAATAAACTTTCAAAAAATAACACATACTATGATAAATGCTGTACGGCATGATGTATAGTGTATGGGGCCCTTTACAAACAATTAACGGTTATTCTATTACCCCTTTCAGTTATATTCCGCTACTATATACTAAAACCGAAAAATTAGGCATTCAAAATCAATTGTGATAAATGTCATTGTGAACATTTATTACTACAACAATAATAATTACAACAACACACATACACAAGCACCGATTTTTTATTACTTAAGTTCTCCGCACATTCCGGCAATTACATTCTAACCTCTTTATGACCGCTCCACCGATCCAACACACACATTACAAAAATGTCATGCTCTATGCTCGTGTGTGTGTATTTTTTCCTCAAAAAAAAAAAAAAAAAAAAAAAAAAATTGAATTGAAGAAAATCTGTTATAGAAAATTTTTGATTTATGGTCATGTCTTTCAATTGCCAGATTGCTGAATAGGATGGGCATGGGCCCTAGCCCATACCCAATTGCCATGAGCGGCTGGAGGTATTGAATTGTGTAATTCTGTCAAAATAAACAATTGATTTATTTATTGGTGACGTCGGTTTTGTTAGAATGGCCATATTTGAAAAAAGTGAACATGACAAACACCCAGCTAAAATGCCAAGTGACGTAAAGTAATAAAAATCCATTAAAGATGACAAAGGTGTCACATGAAAATTATTTTTTATCTTTAATGGAAATGTTCCTAATTTATTTTTTTGTGTAAAAAATGTAATTTAACACATTTTGCATTTTAGCTATTAATTCACGTGCTTGTCTGAAGACATTGTATGGATGCCTGCCTGACTGTCGGACAATTGTCAATTGTTTAAGATTTCGAAAAAAATAAAAATTCTCTTAAATTGTTTTCTTTTCTTCGGCAGCCTCTGACAAGGGTTAATTGTTTGCTTGTCTGTCATACTGGGGGAAAAGGGGGTTCCCCATTTTGAAGAAGAAAACAAAAACAATAAATTATAAGCAGATAATTTCCTTGAATTTTTCCCTCCATTAGTGTGTCAGTGTGTCAAAAGGGCCGTCTAATTAATATTGGGTGTTACATTGATTTTTATTGGCCATTGGCGGGACAGACAGAAATTGAAAACCTCTGAAACCAATCAAGGCTATGCTGATTGCTGTCTACAGATTGTTAATTAATTCCACACAGAGAGACCTTAGAATGAGAATAGCAACAACAGTGACAACAAAACCATGAGGTTCATATTAATTAACCTTGGGCCAAGGGTGCTTGCTTGGCGTCTAGTTAATGTGTCAATTATTTGAATGCTTCGAAATTTCGAAATCTGAAAGGCTATTAATGTAAAAGGGATTTTCAATACGAAAGTATTTTTTATTGTTAAGGGGTTGGGAGGTTTTCTCGTTGTAAGAAAATCGAGGAAAAGATTTTGTCTTTTTTTTTGTCCCTGTAAAAAATAAAATCTAGATCAGACCTTAAATATAGGTAAAATTTTTATAGAATACATTTTATAGTTTTTTTGTAAATAAGATCCACTATGGGTTTTTGAAGATTCTGCAGTAGTCTCCTTACATGGTCCTCTGTGCATAGAGGGCTCTTTTGGGTATTCTAAACCTCTCTATGAGTCTTATGTGCACAGAAAACCTCTCTATGAGCAATTAATATATAAAAGACCCTCATGAATCCTCTATGCGTAGAGTAACCTCTATAGGTTTTCTACACATATTATACCCTATATGTGTCTTCTGTACATAAAATATCATCCCACGTGTCCTCTATGCATAGAGGGTCTTCTATACGTAGAATATTCTCAATATGAATCTCTATATTTAGAAGACCTTTATATATATATAGAAGATCATCTATGGGTTTTCAATGTTCCTGAAATGGTATTCTCAAAGATTCTCCAATACATAGGGGGACTGTTTGGGTATACTATACCTAATATATCCTCTATGGGTTTCCGTTACACAGCAAATTGGCCTTCTATATATAGTAGGCCCTAAATTAACCCTCTATGCATAGAATATCCTCTATGGGTTTTCTACACATATAATATTCTATATTCTTCTTCTGTACATAAAATATCCTCCTACGTATCATCTATGCATAGAGGGTCTTCTATGCGTAGAATATTCTCAATAGGCACCTTTATACTAAGACGTGTTTATATATAGAAGATCCTCTATGTGTTGTCGAAGTGCCTGCTATAGTCTCCTCAAAGGGTCTCTTAGCATAGGGGAATTTTTTGGGAATTCTAAACCTAGAATGTCTTCTATGAATCTTCCGTACACAGAAAACCTTTCTATGAGCCCAATAGACCTCTCTATGAGCCCTACATAATATTCTCTATGCGTTTTCTGTACATAAAATAACCTCCTATGTTTCATCTATACATAGAGGGTCTTCTATGCGTAAAAGATTCTCAATAGGATCCGTTATACTTAGAAGACCTTTTTATATATAGAAACTCCTCTATATGTTGTCAAAGTACCTGCTATAGTCTCATCAAACGATCTCCTATGCATATACGACTTTTTGGGTATTTTAAACCTAGAATGCCTTCAATAGTCCTCTATAAATGGAAGTCCTTAATTGGACCATCTATACTTAGAAGACGTTCTATGAGTCCTGTACTCATAGAATATTATGTATGGGTCTTCAATACACGCAAAAGCCTCATTGGGTTTTCTATAAGTAAAATGGCCTATGGGTGCATAGAATGTCCTCTTTGGATCTGATGTAGATAAAATACCCTCTATGTGACCAGTAGAAGGTTTTCAATATATTGAAGACCTAAAGAAGATAATTTATATCTAAAGCATACAGAACTTCAAGTGTTATTCTACGTATAGTGGACCTCTAGAAGCTTATATACTTAGTAATATTGTAGCTGTTCTGTTTATAGGGGAAATTAGGAACGTTTGCTTCCTACCTGCAGAAGATCTGCTGTTCATAAAACTTCGTCTTTTACCGCTAGAAGACCAATAAAATGTACCCAAACATACATCTACATGTTTTGCGGGCTTATGTGCATAGAAGGGGGTCTATGGAGGGTCTAGAAAATAAATTTAATATCTTCCAAGATCCCCAGAAGGTCTTCAATGTGGAGAAGGGACACATGGCGTCTAGGAGATCCATATAGGATAATTTAGGTAAGCAAAGCCCACATAGAGACCCATATAGAAGACCATCAGATAGAAGACCATCAGCATTATGAAATCTGCATAACAGAAGCGAAATCAATGACATCGGGGACATCCCCAGCAGCCTCTAATTATTACGGTCATCTTCATGGTCTTCTTTGACTTCAGAAGAGCGATACTAGCAAACTGCAGAATTTAAGTAAGTAGAGCAAAATCTAACCGAAATTACTTCCGATCTTCGATATACGATTTATTATCTGAAGAAGGCCTTGAGAGGTTTTGTTGTTCCATAGAAGTTGTTGCTGATATCTTCTCCCCTTTTTACCTTCGGAATTCAACAAATTGTTAATAATATATAAAAAGTGGGAACTATTACCCTTTCTCCTTTCATTTATTTTTTAAATACACTTTCTTTCAAAATTAAAATAATCGCCATCATTTTGAACATTTAGCAACACTTTAAAAAATTATGATTAAAATTATATACAGCTATAAAAAGAACATGATGAGCCATAAGTTTTAATGAAATCCTGTCCGACTACCCGCTTAATGAAATCTAATGCGTTTTGAAAAAAGTATAAAA